CGCGCCTCTGTCCGTGGCTCAGTAGGGCCCAGCCCCGCAGTCTGCACAGGGGCCGGTCAGCGCACCTCTGTCCGTGGCTCAGTAACGCCCGGTGCTGCCCGGACCCTGTGGGGACGCTGGACATTCAGAGCGGGGGATTTCCCCAAACGACAGGGCAAACCGTTCTGGAAACGCAAACCTTTATTTTTTTTCATTTTTGTATTTAGCCCTTTTTGGGGTGTAGTCTTTTCTGCGCTACAGATGACGTATATTGATAATAAATTCTTGTCTTCGACCCAGAGTTGGCTCCAGTTAATCAAGGATGATGTCCTCAGAAAATTCATTATATAGGCATCATGTAAATGATTATCTAATTGGCTGTGATGGAGATAGATGTGTGACTGTTACGTGTAGATATGCAGTTCTACGGGATTGTTGTGTAAAACATGTTTAATATGACATGATTCTGTAGTGCCCTTGTTTCTAAAACAATCTTTTGAGTGCAAAGAATTATCAGTAATTCATTGCTTTTAATTTTGCTGATGTACTTTCTAATTCCCCTTCAGATGTGCTGCTCTCAGAGTGGCATTTTTAAAATAGTGCTCCAGTTTCACATGACTCATTTTATGAGCAGTGTATTTTTGAGGCAGATATTTTTTTCATATATGATGATGCTCTTGTGAAGGACATGCTTGCTAAAACTTGTTTTACAAAATATACTCATAAGTACTTGGGGATTTTTTCAGGCTTTTAGGAATACTGAGATGCTCAGTACACACCATTTATACACCAAACTTCATTTGATTACAGCTGTCAGTGACGGATAAGACCATGTTTAACAGTGCAGGAACAGCACTGCAAGCTCTGTGCAGACATCCTTATTGTAAGTGCATTTGCACTGACATCAAACTTTTAATTTAAAGGTTTGTGGTTATTATGAGACTGAGATATTTCTGTCAGATCACAGTAAGGTCAGGTCTGATTAAATTATTCAAAATAATTACTGGTACTTAAAGTTAACTACATGTCCGGATTATAATTGTGCTTATAGGTGCACCAGGGAAAATTGAATCATTCCTTGGTGACAATTACTGTACATGCAGTGCCCTCAAAGTATTGGATGGCAAAAGTCAGAACTTTGCTTTATAGTCAAGCCAATTGTATTTCTGACATAAGATGAGTGTTTTATTTCTGGTAATTTTCATTCATGCATTGGATCACAATAGAACACAGACATACCGTTTGCTTTTCTAGTCATTAAAGTCACGCATTTTGTTCAGACATGAGAATGATGTAGTACAGGAACAACTGATGTGCTTTTATAATATTTCAAACTATGTATTTATACACTTTCTACCAATAAAACCTCATAGTTCAGGGGTCCTGAACCTGGGGCACCAGCACCTCCTAGGTGTGCAGCCCACTGCACAGAGATTTCTCATCATATTTGTATAACCTGAACTTAATTCTTTAATAATAAATTGACTAAAACTGGTCCTGTTTTAATCAAACTTAAAGTTTTGGGGCGATATTGAAGAAGAGTAATGTTGATGAATCATGCATACCTTGATTTCACATTTATCGCAGATTGTCATGGCACACAGAGACCTCCAAGTCTCTCCTGAGGGACGTTTCTTTGCAATGCCAGGATTGAAACCATCAAAGCTGAAAGAGCTTTCTTCTATTCACTGTGGTCTTGAGGTACTCTATTTCAACAGAAAACGGCTTGATTTGAGGCATCAGGACCTTGGATTTACTCCAATGCAAAAAAACGAAAAAAAAAACAGAAAAAAGCAAGGTTTCCGTTTAAAAAAAACTAATAAACTGCGAACTATCAGAGAAACTTTTGTTGAGTCTTGTGCAATGAAAATGGTTCAGCTGGTACAGTATGTGGTAAAGAACAGTGAAAGAAAATTGAAGAAGTTCCTTAAATGATGTTCTCAAATTACCAACATGTCTTCAAAATTCTAAAACAGGTTATTGAAGAGAATACACAGTGCAGTCAGCTGCTCGTCTTTATTTGGTGGACAGCTATGAAGGCCAGCACTTTCTTGAAAAAGTAAAATGTTTCTTTGCCAAGTGTTGGCAATGAAGACATGTTGGCAATTTGAGAACATCATTTAAGGAACTTCTTCAATTTTCTTTCACCGTTCTTTAGATAGATACTTTATTGATCCCGTGAGGGAAACTGCAGAATTGTGAATGACTTGATGATGATGAGGTGGGGGCATAGGAGTCGGGAGTAGCATCCACACACAGGTGGTGTGAATATGAATAAAAAGGATCCCTCACGCGTTTTCTTGTGTGCTGGTGACCACAGATGACCAGTTGTGATGCTGCCAGCACTGGAGGGACCTGCTAGACGTCGCCACAGCCAGGCAGCACAGGTCTGTGAAGTAGACGCCATCAGGAAGTCACCCAGTGGGTTTTATGGGAGTTGTAGTTCTTAAGATAACGCTACAGCTGTGCGCAATCATAGACAGTTTTTATACCCATCCGCCCTGTGACTGTGACATCTAACCTTTGGGTGTTGGCAGGCAACATGTATTAGCTACTGTTTGGCATGGATAAGCTGTATGAGTAGCCAACTTTATACATGCCAGGTCCCTGAACCATCAAACCATTATTGAATTATTTAATGTTACTCTTGTCTTCCATAGGTTGTGTGAACTATCACCCTATTTCCTTTGATAGCCACTAGTATGTCTCCTTAGGCTGTTTTTCTATACAGTCACTAGACTGAGAGATTTTAAAGAGAAAAACAGTAAAAAGGGCAAGATGTACTTCAAAATAATTTAAGGTGTGTTTAAAGAGATTGAAAAGAATAATAGAGACATCAATGACAGATTTGTTTTGTGAGATGTCAAGGTAGAATTGGACAGGAGTAATAACTGTACCTGAGTGTATCTTCAAGTGTGTATTAGGGTTCAGAAATACTAAGAAGAGTTTTAGAGGTTTTGTTACAGGAATAAAAGCAAGACAGTTATTGTCATGATGTTCCTATGACTTTCATAGCCTTGTGTTTCAGACATGAATGAACTGGCATCACTGTAAATTATACAAGCAGAGAAGATGATTATGATTAGGATTATGATTGTGTGCTACTCGCTGAAGCACTGCAGTTCTGCGGACCCTGAATATGGAATCTGTTCATAGTTTTGATTTAAATTGCCTGTGTTATTTATTAAATAATCCAATTAGTATATTTTGCTGCTCTGCCTTTGCTAACTTAAAAATCCTTTTGCCAGATTAGATTTTAAAATGAAACACCTCACTTGTATCCCCTCCCCTTAAAGCAGATATTATCAATTTATGCAGTTATGTGAGGTCATTAAAGCTTTCAAACTGCTTTGTGTAATTTGAAAGCATGTTTTGTGTATATAATAAAAACTTCAATTTACATCCAGGTCTTATCCATGGCTAACAGAGAGTGCAAGACAGGACTGCAACCTTGATGAAAATCTAGCCCAGTGCAGCCTGTCTGTGTAACGAGGAAGGAGACCAGAGCTCCCAGAGAACACACAAACACTGGAATCGAACCCAGGTCCAGAGAATAAAACGTAGGAATAAAATGTAATATATTGTAACGAATACTCTACTGCGCGTAACAGGGATCTTGACTGCCGGGCTGAAGACGGTCTTTAGCTCAGCCGGTAGTACCCTGTTGAGCGATGCTGGAGACCTGGGTTTGAGCCCATGCAGTGAGGGATGAACTGGGGCAGGAGCGGCGAGGGCACAAGCTCAAGAATCCGAATTCGCTACATTGGTGTCAGCAGTGGGATGGAGTGGAGCGGCGCAGTGAGAGGCTACAAATGGCTATGAAAGACCTTAACATTTACTGTAGTTTGATCCTGCAAAGCTTCTTTGCTGTTTTGGAATACTAGTGCCAGTTTTGAAGTTTTAAAGTTGGAATTGTGAAAGTAATTTTTAAGACCTTAGAAATATAGAGCTACCAGGTAAACTACCTATCATTGTATTCATAGAAAGGTTAATGAACTGATTTTTATTAACATTTTTATTACAAGTATGTTAAGAATAAAGAAACAAAGGAGTGGAGGCTGTTCAGCCCATCTACGTAGTGTTGCAGAGTGTAGCAGCAGAGTTTATCTGAAAATATATAGTATCAGGAAGCAGAAGTAAAAAATATCAGCTAAATGCAAACTTTTTTACTTTGCTTCCTAAAAGAAAAGAAGAGTTTGGTAGTTTGTTCATGTATAATCTGCA